CTGTGCCATGCCACCTCGCGGAGGAGGCCCTCTTCCATCTCGGTCGCGCATCATCCCACCACCCACGAGGCCGCGCGGGCCGCCAGGACCCCGGTCATTGCGCCTGATATCTCGGCGGTCATCACCACCGCCTCTGGTTTCTCGCTCTCTCGCAGCTCTTGTTTTCTTTTCTTCCACATTTAAACGCACTTCTCCTCGAAACATGATTGGCTTTAAAAAGAGAAAAATAACATGATTGGCTTTAAAAAGAGAAAAATATCAACACAGGCAAGTTAGACAGCAATATAAAATGTACTTACTTTACTCAGAGAAATTCGAAAACCCTAAGAAGAAAATGTTCATTCATGACAATCTCACTATGTAATCTTTCCAATCTTATTAAATAATGAAACTTAACCTTGTGTTACATCTGTTCCTCTAGTAAAAACCTGACTGATACATTGACATGATGGATCAACTATTACAACTACTTAGTTTAAAGTAATCTTTATAGTGTTCCTCTTATTTAAAAAATTCTCAAAGATTTCTAGTAAGAGTCACAGTCCTGATTTGCAAGCAAATAAAAATTAATAATCAGTTTACCCTATAATATAAGATTTTAAGACGCTCTGGTCTGTGACCTTCATAATGGTTCTCACATTTGTAGTCAATAGATGACTGTACAGATGGTAATGGTGTCTGGTGTTTGTTTCCCTTCTATGAAGGGTGAGGGAGTTGTGTCTGGGAACTTAATACATCTCCCCCAGTGTATTAATCTCTGATAAAATAGCTTCTCTACAGGGAAAATCTCACTAAAGACAGAACATGTGGTCTTATTTAAAAGTGATCCTTCTCTCCCTTGCAGAAAACATGAGGGTTTTTTTTTTTTTTTTTTTTTTTTTTTTGTATTTTCACTATGAGATTCCTATAGATTAAACTAACGAAGGAGAGTTCCTTCCTCTACCCTTGCCTTTCCCCATCCTTCCTGGAAGTTTTCACTTTTAAGTTCATCCATACTGAGCCTATAGCAATTTCTGACTTAATAGGAGGTTTATACTCTGCCACTAGGGTTTTATCTAACATAGTAATCTTTTCTTCACTTTTATTTCCTTTTTGAAATTCTCAGATTTTTCCTTAAATGTTTCCTTGAAAACATAAACAGTTTTCTATATAAATTTTTAGTGTTTTTTTTCTTTTCAAGACATATTTGCTAATTTGTTTCTTTTTCAATAACTTGTGTATTTGTTTTTTAATACTATATCATTTAAAAATATTTTTGAGGATCATAACTCCTTTTTCCTCTTTCATTAATAGATATTAGAAAAGAAAGGTAAGCTCAGCACTGTTATGTGTGGCTCATTAGACATTAGGGTCTTCATCATAGTCACAAAGTGGGAATATTGCCTTACAACTTTCTATCGTTATCTGACTTTCACTCTTTCAGGCAAGCAAATTCATTCAAATTTCAACTGTGTCTTTGTTATCCATAAATTTAGGTAGTGATGTAAGGGGAAAACCACTGAACTCTGAGGTTGTTTGAGAAGCAAATTTACTTTGAACAAATGGATGAAGACAGTGCTCCTTTCTAGTTAATGCCATAGGATATATTATTTTCTTTCTTTTTTTTGCAGAACTGGGGATTGAACTCAGGTCCTTGAACTTGCCAGGGAAGTGCTTATTCCATTGAGCCATCTCTCCGGCCCCTGGTGTTTTTTTTTTTTTTTTTCCTAATTGGATAATGAGCATTCCAATCATAATGTAATAAATTCTTTCGCCTCAAAAAAAAAAAAAAAAAAAACCTTAAAGTGAGTCATACCTTAGACTTCACACCTCAGACGTTAATACGTAAAAAACTTTAACCTCTGCATAAATACCATTTTACGATAAATCACTTTTAGCTTTACCATTAAACATGACTTGCTATGGTTTAAAAAAGTACCAAAATAATCACATTATATACAATAGAAACAAGAACATCTTGAATTATGTATACCCTTTAAATCACTTACTTTTGCAATTAAGATTCTCTGAACTGGTTCAGAGTCATCAAAAACCACAAAGCCAAAATTTGGAAGCTTTCCCCCAACACCCTTGGTATTGATGCGAAGTTCCACGACATTTCCAAAACCTGTGAAAATATACATTACATCAAGAATTAAACATTTTAACAGTTTTCTAATGGCTTTACTCAGGAGGAATAACCTTAACATCCTTGATTTACTTGGAAATAAAAGTTGCAAGGTACTGTACCCTGTGACAATGCTGGACCCTCTAACAGTATACCCCGTTACCCGAGCTGGCCTGACTGTTCATTCTGCTACCTTTCACCAACTTCACTAGTCCTTTCATAAGATGAGATACCCATGAAGTTCTAAAAGGCCATGCTATCTTCTCATTCTGACATGTATTTTCCATTTTCAGACTGATTTGTCCCGCTTTTCCTCCTGATTGTTAATGAATGAGAAAAAGTGAAAGCTAAGCAGGCACTACCCTTCACTTCCTTCTGACCAATCAAAATGAGACTGGTACTGGGCCACTACACCAAGGGACAGAGTGGTTATATTATGAAAAACTATCTAGTTCTGGCTTAATATAAGATACTTTTAAAATTTTAATTTCAAAAATGAAAACAAACCACTTACTCATGAAAAATTCTTTCAGTTCATTTTCATCAATATCATGTGGCAAGTTACCAACAAAAAGCTGATGACTATCTGGATAGCGAATTACTCTACGGTTGTCTGAGTCATTCTGTTCCATATCTCCTCTGCCTGAGAACAGCAACAGAACAGGTACATAGTTTACAACATCATAACATATAATTAATAGTTCAAAGCAATAAATGTAAAAAGAAAATAATTTAATACTGAAATTCTTGTTTTAGTTTAATAAAATCATAAGTGTCTTGCAGAAGTGGAAGTGTCTAATTATTAGTAGGTTAGTCAGAAAACAACAGGACACTAAACTGTAGAGTGAGAATAGAAGGACAGTTTCTTTTTCTAGACTACCAGTCTGACTGTAAGTCAGGTAAGATCCTAGAGGCACACGTACTCCTCCTTACCCAACCAAAACTGCTGCCATTACCCAGGAACCAAGCCAACTTCAAAGATGTCTATTTCTATATCAAGTACTTGCTTAGTGTTCTGAATTGCTTTTTCTCCCAGTATTGATTATTTTCATATATTATTTTCAGGTGCCCGGGCTGGCTTGAAACTTTGAATCCTCCTACCCTGCTTCACACATACTTAGGATCATAGGAGTACCACCACAACATCTGGCCTCAATCTTTGATTATATGACACTACAGCCAAATAAGTAAATTTTAGCAATACCACTGTCTCATTTTATATAGATGGGTACTCTCATATATAATCCTATTTGATTTTCCAATAAGAAAAATAAGTCATATAAGACAGGCTTCACAAGAGAAATTTTTGTAGTAACAGAAATGGTGTAAGAGAAGCTCAGAATTTAAGGAACCTACTTAAGATCATAAATACAATCAGTAGTAAAGCCAGCACAAACTTCCAGGCTTCTGAGACTCATGGCTTAGTTAACATACCACTATTTTCTTTTAAAGTAACAGTTGAAATTTGATATATACTATCACCCACCTCCTCCCAGAAGTGATCTAAACATTCTCAAAGAATTCAAATACAGGTAATACATACATTAGCTAATATGTAAACAAGTCAAAAATCATGGAAACTTACTTAATACCTAAGACAATCAAAATAAGAAGAATCATGGTGTGCTTAGTGTTTATCTGTGAAGAGATAAGAGTGCTAAGTAAGAGCAGGTTATTGGCAGCTTGGTTTTGAATTCTTAAAGCCAGTGACAATAACCAAATAACACGTGTTTCAAACTCTTTACACCTTCCAAGTACATGTCCCTACAGCAGTTCAACCAGTCCTCCCCTGAAAGTGCAATCCTGGCCCTGAGTACCTTCCGGCAGGCTGCTCACATCTGCAAACAACTGCACACAGCAAAGATGGGTGTATACAGCCCTCTATGGTTTTCTACCACTTCAGTCTGCTCTAACTTTCCAAATGCTATATGCTAAAGGCTAGAAAGGAGCAGACTCACCTGGTCTTGGTCCCCTAGGAGGGAAACCTGGTCGCTCTCTAGGTCGTTGTTCACGCACACGTGGTGGCTGAGACTGAACTTCTGGCTTAGCTTCAACTCTTGGCTAAAAGGGAAAAAACACATTATAAAGACACATACCATACGGGAGAAAAGCCAACTAAAGCAACTACCAGCAAGACACTAGCAGGAATAAATAGTAGTTTTAAGTTTACAATGCTTGAAACATACTACCCTATGAATGTTAAACACAAATTCTTTAAAGATATTCTGTACCAATCTAGGACTGTAGGGTAGGTTGTATTTTCCCACTCAGGCTGTATAACTCACAATAAGCCACTTTTTATAATCATATTTTTTCTACTAAAGTAACAGCCACACTGAAACAGCATAAAAGGTATTGCTACAAAAAAAAAAATCACAAAAATGCAAGACGAGACACTCCATATAAATACATAGAATCAAAAGCCATCTTAATTTTAGACAAAAACACAAGACACATATTTCTAAGTATCTAGTTAAGGCCCTGTAGATTTAATAGTGCTCGATTATATCTCCTAACCCCCAATTCACACTCTTAAAACATTATGAATACTTCAAAGTATAAATTTAGCTTACTCTGGCACTTAAAACTGCAAGTTCTAGGTTTAAATGCACATAAAGTGGGATGAGTGGCAGCAAGGGAGGGGGGCTTCTATGTAGCATTTCAAATTAGTCAAAAGAAGCCCTTCTTTCTCTCTTTTTTAAAATTTTAATTTAATTTTTTGTAGAACCGAGGATTGAACTCAAGCCTCCATGCTTGCCAGGCAAGCACTTATTCCAATTGCTAAACCACACATATAAAGAACCTATTTTCAATTGTAATGTGTATCTGCTATTATCTTTTCCTCAATACAACAGCACTTTTAATATTTCCAACCTCTTCAGGCTATTTTCCAAATATTTATGATTCAAGGCTATAGCAAAATATATGCATCTTCAAAGGATGCTGAATTCACCCAGCAGGATACAGAGAACACATCCTCAAACCAGAGATGGTAATTTCAATCTCATCTTTTTAGGTGACCTCTACCCAAGACACTGTATTTATAAAAATAGATCTGGATATATAATATTACACTTCTTTCAAAAATGACCACTTATTGCCAATTATTTTGGCAATAACATCCTAAAGATAAATAAACCATCACACTAGCAGTTTTAACAATGTGTATGTTCCTTCTATATTGTTTCCTCTATGTAGATGTCCCATTGTGCTCAAGATGAAAGTGACCCCAGCTCTAAAATGTTGCTAGCTTAAAAATTAATTTTAACCCTCTCCAATTTCTTGAAAGTTGTATTTATTTCTATAAAAACAAAATCTTTATTTTTACATTACCCAAAGAATTAAGCATAGTGCTGTCAGACATAGTCAGTAATTATTAATTTATTTAAAATTGTTTTTAGTTCTGACCCTAAACTTGTATGACAACATTCTTTGTCTGACAAAATGACCTAATGGTTATCCCCAAGAGCAAGCTTAACTCTTTGATCTGTATTTGGTGTTTGATACTATGTAAATGATCTAAAATGTAAAGTGTGAAAAAGGTGGTTGTTTGAAAATGTCAACTAAAGACTATCAAAAACACATATTTCAGTTTGGATATGAAAGAGAACAAAGGAACAGATGTACTCTGTTCCAAATTTAATGAAGCCGGTGTATTACTGAAAATTAATGAAACGACAACTATGCCTATGCTTAAGGGAAAACCTTACTCATCCAGTCAGGGAGACAGCTCAACAGCATAAGCAATTACAAGGTCCTGAGTACCAAAAACACAAAAACCAAAAACAAAAAACCCCTTAAAAGCCCTGAATTCAACAGACTGTTAATTCTTTTCAAAACAGATTTCCAACAGAAATAACTATATGTAGTAAAGAAAGTTCTGTCTTTTTAAGAATTTAAAATCAGATAAATGTAAATACTTTTCAACATCTTGCAAATAACACATGGCTATGACTCAGCAACCTGACTTTGTGAGGAGGTATTTGATGTCAATGTATGAAAAATGAGACCAAAAAGCTCACAACATTCCCTTCAATAACAGATGAACAAGTGTCCACTAAGCCAGCTCTGCACTTAAAATTCTTCAGGCCCAATGATTAAAATTAGTTATTCCATACAGATGGATAGCTAATACCACATAAACCATTATTAGTGTCTTAAAATTAATTTCATGTAGTCAGGCAAGTGTGATCACAGAATGAACTCAAGTAAATGTCAAACAGCTTATGAAATTAAAAATACAACCATCGGATCAAGTCAGTAAAAAGCAGATACTATAAACACAACTAATAAATCCTTGAATTATAAACTATTTAGGTGAATAGGTCAATTTCCAGACAAAACCACTTACCAAGAAATTAACTTACCTACTTCTAAATGAATGCCTAACAAAAGCCTAGCGTTATACCTGATTTCCTTTCATCAGTATCTATATTATAGAGATGAATGCTACACAAAACAAAAGTAAGTTTCCCAGAATGTTAACTGTAACTGCCAAAAATACTCAAACTTTAAGACAAATTACTTAAGATACATGAAAAGTTATTTTCCTGGGTACGAAGTTAGAACAGTATGGTGAGCCTATGGCGTGAGTGCTAGCAGATGGTTGTTTGCTTCACTGAAAGCTCTGAAAGGCACACCATCACTGGGATAGAACATGATGCAGCTAAGGCACGCAAGGGACAAGTGCAGACAGCTAAGAGTCAGACCCTGTAGGGAGGAACTTAGGGACTGTGTAGGTCTGCCAGTCATACGAGGAGGCTGTCTAGCTACATGAATACAAATGCCAGCCTTCTATTTTCTAGCTCTAAAGCAATGTTAATGGCACCTACTACTCATAGGGTTCAGGGAGAACAGAGTACTTTGCACAACGCCTATCAAGTCTGACAGGCATTAGTGCTTCATCTTTATGTAAAATAAACACACCAAAACTCTTAATAACTCAAAGGTTCCAAATCAAAGATTTCAAAAGAAAAGCCACAAGTCACTTATCAAATTCCTGGATCAGATAGAAAGCACAAACCCTGAACACACTAATTTTTTTTAGTAAGATGGAACTGGTTTGTGATCTAAGGTAAGAAATCATTTCCTGAACGTCTACTTGTGAAAAACAGGCATGACAACATGGAGTATTCTACTACTATGTAAATAACTACAATGTGCATCAACACCACAAAGACTGTAAGAATCACTAGCTTTTTCTGTTCTCTAACAGGGGACTTGCTTTGTGGCTCAGGCTGGTCTTGAACTCCCGGACTCCAATGATCCTCCTCTTCCTAAGCAATGCTACTGCTGGTAAACACCACCATGCCCAGCTTTTGATACCTCATGCTTTACTGTCTGGAGCATTAAAAGATTGATTCACTAATCATTTTAAATGTAAAATTTCTAGCAGAATGAAATTTAACTGAAAATGTTGGGGAAAAAAGAATAGGACACCCTTTAAGTATGTCAATGAACTTAAAATTTAGTTAAATCTGGACTATATCTAACAAACATTGTAAGTAGTCAGTGTCTTATGTTCACATTTTTGGAAAGCTCTGAAATGGGTAAAATGACAAACAGACAAAAAGCAGAATACCTCAATGATTAGTTAAGGTGAACACTACAGTCATAAGTTGGTACAGGCTTCAAATAAATGGTGGGAACCACTTACAGACTGAGAATGTAGGCAGTGTATATTTTTAAAAGTTTTGTACTTTAAAAAAAAAACAATTTTTTTATAATGCCACAATATTTTGTGCCTTTCCAAATTTCTTACCTAAAATAATTTGCTGAATTTGTACTTTTTAGAAGGAACTTATTTTAAGAAGCCTTTTAAATGACATTCTACATACTAATGAAACCAACTTAATCTGTATTTCACACACCCAAACCCCAAATACCACCTATGCAGATGATGAATGGAGATTTGGCAGTTAAAGTGGGTGCACTGACATTTCATACATTTTTTGTATGTTTAATCCATACTTTCTGACTCATAAAAATGTAATAAAAAATAATAAGCAGTTGGCAATGTAACAAGGATACAATCCAATGTGTTCACAGATGGGTTACCTGTGAGACTGGTGCTTTAACATGGGGTGGAATTCCAGAGGAAGAAACAGTACCACTAGGAGGCAGGTTTTTACTGGTCACTGAAGCCCAGGAGAAAGCCTGCAGGAAATGCAACAAACCTAGACTACTAATCATGGAAAACCACCAACATTCCTATAGGGAAACTCTCAAATATATATTTTCTTTTCATTTCTGAACTATGGCTCTGTAACGGGGGGACTCCTAACAGAAAGGCACACACACACATGCCAGTCTATGTGCCAGTTTTCAAAATCTCATTATGCAAGATTATTTATAACTTTTGTCTCTACTAGATAAAACCACAGCAAGTTCCTATATACTCTAGATAGATGAACAAGTGGTGAATAAAATCACTAAACAACTAAACATGCTAGAGAACTGAGCCTGATAGAACCACTTTCTTTCCCCTTTTTTGAGGAAGATAGGGTGTGTGGTGGTGTTAAAGGGAAGGGGAAGGACAGGAAAGAATAGAATACTAGTTGGAAACTTTCATAGACATCCACAAATTGAACAAGGATTCTTCTCTTGCTATCCAATGTAGTTTATCCTACTTTACAGAGAGATAGAAGTTTTGCATGGAACACTGGGTGTCACTCACCTTTACAGGATAGTTTAACTGGTACAGTAATAAGAAAACATCCCATCTCACTCAAGAGTATCTCTTAATTACAGACCAACATAAACCGGGAAATTGTATGATTCCTGGTACAGCTATGCTTAGAGGATTCCACCCAGAAGGAAGGAGCAACTGACAGCCTTAGATGGATTGGGGGGTGGAGTGGGGATGATTTCATCTAAGTTGCTAAACTGTATCAGATCAAGGATAATGTTTTACAAATTCCACTTTTAGGAGCCTTTTCTGGGAAAAGCCACTGAAATTTTCTCTGGATAACAATACCACAGCTTTTTTCACAGACATAAAAATGCATAGTTTACTATGTTAAACCAATTTAACAAAACAGAACAAAAGTTGTACTGCACTGATGGCACCAAGTATGAAAAGTGAAGTCAAAAGTCTGAAGGGTTCCTCTGATCTAACCTTTGGTGGTTCTTGAGGCAGAGAAACAGGCTCTGCGGGGGGAGGAGTAGTAGACTTCTCCTCCAGTTCTTCTAAGTTCTTCTCCTCCACTTGTG